TTTTCCATGGCTATTCCTAAGATTCTCCTTTGTATATTTATAAAATTCAGTTTCCCCCATTTCATTACAGACCCATGGAATCAGAATAGCATACAACTTTAAAGTTTTTACAGTAACTCTGACATAGCTACTCTTTCCTTTGTTGTTTCATGATACAATTTAGTATTTGGTGATGGGAAATAAATCCTTTTTTCCTTTGCTCTGAAACATATGATGGCATATGAAAGCTATGGTTTTGAGAGCCTGAAAAAGAAATGATTTATTACCTTGTTGTAAATAACTGAATATGCAAAAGGCAGATCAATGTGGTTTCACATTTCATTATACATTATTACCTTTTTCTTTTAGAGAAACTGGAACCTTCTCTTCTTTCCCTTTAATAGGCTCTGGAAAGAAACGTTGAACATTTATGTGAAGCCAAGACAAAGTGATTTTTAAACACATACATAATGGAGTCATTGAGCTACAGGTAAGCTGAAAGTAAGTAGAAACTATATGATGCTCTTTTTCTTTTCCAAAATGATTTTAATCATACAGAGATAAAGAAAAGGTACAGAATACAACAAGCCATCCATACTTTGGTCATTTTTATTTAGTGTAAACCTAAATTTAACAAGTTATAATCTACTTATTCGTTTAAGAGGATGAGCATTTGGATGGAAGAGAATTTATTTATCTGTAATTTTTTTAAATCATGACTTCAGCATCTAGAAGTTTCCCAAAACTGTTCAATCAGCACTAACTCAGTTTATTTCTTTCAGGCTATGCTTTTTTTTTTAATAAACAAACAAATGGAAAACTCTGCATACATAATGTATACAGTGGTATTTTAGTCTTTAGACTCAAGACAAAAAACAATTTCAAGAATAAGACTAAAATCAAATTTGAAAGACAATTTAATCTCTGGGACAATTTTACCTATGAACTCCCGAAGTCTTAAAAATGCAGATTTAGTTGAAGTAAGTCAAATAAAACTTCACTTATTCTACCAGCTTTAACATACTTCTTCAATGTGATTCTGACTGTATAATGGTCTCCAGACATACATATGGGCAATTCTTTGAACATTAGTGGGTTCGACAGCTGTTAAAATAAAAGATAAACCCATTTTCTGCTTTCTTCACAACACTAAAGCTCAATATACATTTTATGTATAAAAATGACTTTTAATGCAATGGGAAGGGAAAGGAAGAAAGAAATCTATCCTTCAAGCCCTTTTTTCTATTCCCACCTTATGATTTGGGGTGGGAATACAGAGAATATGACGGTGGCACTTGTACATGGAGATGCCACTTTAGCAATCACTTAGAATGAACTCAGTCCAGATAGCTTTGGATGTGTTAAGAATGGATTTACAGGTTTTGTTAAAAGAGCTATGTCTTTCAAAGCAAGATTTTCTTGGTGGATAAACTACAGCCTTAGATATACATAAGGATGTGGAATTTTTAAAAAGTTGCTTTTAGTGACATAGAAATGTCCATGTTGCTATTTATAGTACTAAGTATTAATAAAAATAGGGCCATTTTTTTTTCTATACTTCAACATGTGAAGATGAAATCAAGAGCTGTGGATTGAACAAACACACTGGGAAGTGTCATTAACTTTTTTTCAAGCTGATGGGGGTAATTTACTGCTCTTATGCTTCCTGGCTAAACCAAAAGAATTGATGTGTTGTAAAATAAGAAATGGTGGTGGGGACAGATTCCCACTGTGGTGGAAGAGTGAAATGTCTAGGGTTTCAAAATTCAAGATTCAGCACGTTGATTTAAATGGGTGTGTGTATATGTTTGTGTGAGATTTATAGTAGTTACAAAACACGGGACCTAGGGAGAGGGTCCACAGAACTAATTTTTTTTTCAAAGCGTATTTTGTTTTTATTTTTAAGGAAAATTAGGGGAGGAGATAATAGCAAACAAGAGGTTATTTTTCATTTTTTATTTATCTGTGTTTTCTGAATTGCCTTCAGTAAATATTTATTTAAAAGGAAAGCAAAGTACAAAACAAAACAACCCCTTACACTAACACGGATATTGTGTTCAGGGGTCTTGATTGGTCTTAGTTAACCAGCTTCCCCAGGAGCGACTTCTCCTGTTTAGTCCAATTCACATCAAAGACACCGTCTGATGCACAAGCAGTTTATTTTGGCAGTGCTTTTGCAAGGCAGATAGCAGGGGCAGGCAGGTGGCATGGGACAGATACAGTCAGCATATCGGTTGACTGTCTGCCTGGGAGTGTCTCCATCCAGACGGTATTCTTGTTAAGTCCGGGGCTGGGAGGGAGGTACACAAAGCCTGAGGTGTAGCAAACTGCTGTTTATTTTGAGCATCTGGGTGCCAATGGGTGGAGGCCGAAAAAGCGTCCACCATAAGAGAGGGGAAAGCCTTGGGTTTTATAGAGGATTTTTCCAGGGGAAGTGAGCAACATCTGCAGAGATAGGGGAGGTGGGTAGATTTGTCTTTTTCAGGGGGGATAGGAATTCCGGTGTCTGTAGCTGTCTGTGCTCCGGAGTTAGATTTAAGACTTCTATACTTTCCAGACTGCTGTGGCTTTTATTTTACTGGCTTTATGATCACTATTTAAGTTTTCCATTAAACACATTACGTTTTATACATACTTTTTGGGTTCCCACTCTAAGTAACAATTCTCAGAGTTTCGGGGGTCCTTCTCCTTTTTAATATCTGTATTCAGTTAAGGTCAGTTATCAGGTGCTTCTTTCAGGAAGGAAGTTTAAGTTATTCTTCTAATGGTAAGTTTTGTTTGAAAGTTACTGAGCATTGCATCTGTGCTAAGGTGGTCTTGTCTCCTGAAAATCCTCAGGCCAAAGTTGGAAAGTTCCAGGCCAGGTTACATCAAACTACTAAGTGGCACATATATTGGCCCTGTGAGATATTCAGATGGGCCTTATAGGTATCATTAATCTTATAGCCATGATGTCTTTCTTAGAGTATATTACAAAGAGGAGGCTCTTCAGACTCATTATAATCCCTTAGTTCAACCCATACTGGACATTAGATTTGTCTACCTTGTATAGAACTCTGCTAATGGCTCTGTTATCTGTTTAATAAAGTCAAAACTTAGCTTGATGTTCAAGATCCACTCTGAACTGATCCCAGCTTGTCTTTACAACCCTTTGCTCATCCATTTCCTGTTCTTTTTTTTTTTAATTTCAGAATATTGTGGGTGCATAAATATTTTGGTTACATGAATTGCTTTTGTACAGTTTGCATCAAAGTTATAAGTGTGCCCATCACCAAGTAGTGTGTGTTGTACCCATTCCCTCCTCCCCCCTCCCACCTCCTTGATTTCCCTGGAGTTTAACTTGCAGAACTAATTTTGATTTTAATTGAGAAAGAAGGAAGGAGTTGAATAACAGTTACACTTTTATAGGGCATCCAAGGTAGTGATCCTATCAACTTAAACTTCGGGAAAAGTTCTCAAAACCAAAAGTGATTTCTATTTCCAAGTTTGTTAATGGCAAGATGCCTTCTGCTCCCAGGGTGGGTCATCACTTGATCACTTTCCTGCCTATCACTTCTTTTTTTATTTTTTTTCAAGACAAGGTCTGTCTCTATCATCCAGGCTGAAGTGTGAAGTGTAGTGGTGTTATCATAGCTCCCTGCAGCCTCCAACTTCTGGACTCAGAGGACCCTCTTGCCTCAACTTCCTGAGCAGCTAGGACTACAGGCGTGCACCACCATGCCTGGTTAATTTTTGCATTTTTTGTAGAGCCATGTCTTGCTATGTTACCCAAGCTGATCTTTCACTCCTCTCCTTAAGCAATCTTCCCACTTTGTCCTCCAAAAGTGCTGGGATTACAGGCATAAGCCACTGTATCTGGCCTACAGATCATTTCTTCTCAGTATCTTTTTTGACCTCAAAAGGTTTTGAATCAATTTTGGAAGTCCATGGGCTTGTCTGAACAATCTCTATCCATGAAGTGAGTGAGATATCAAATCTGACAAGAAAGTAAAGAGAGTATTATACAGAAATCCTGAACTTATATATTAGGAAAGAGAAACAAATCAGTGGAGTGAGTCAGCTTTTATAGCCAATTTTCAACTCATTTGTCTTATTTGTCAA